AGTTTTGCTAGAGGGAATGGGCTTAAAAATCCACAATGTAAAGAATGATCATAGTGGTAACCCTACCATGCTAAGTGGAGATCCCACGAACTTGGTTCAAAGGGAAAACTAAGTTATGAAAATTCAGTTGAGCACTTGGAACATATGAATGTCCAAAGCTATTCCCTTGAGCACTCCAAGTGCAAGATGACCTGTTGATTGTGGTGAGGGTAAGTCATGTGGACTTTTAATGAATCCCTAACCTTGTAAAGGTGGAGTAATACAGGATACTCTTGATAGGGAGGTCACCTATATAAGTGTGAAGTGTGGGCCGCTTCAAATGTAAACACTTATGAATCCAAAGTGATGTCCATGGCCAAAACGGACACAGCGATAGAACGGAATGGAGTTAAGATTCTATTGTGTGAATGTCATTGTCTAGGTGTACACTATGGAGGAATAGTTCAAGGCATTATGTCCACTAGGCCGTCAGTGCATCCGATGATGTTTACTACGAAAGGTTCAAAGCCAAAAACTACCTTTTCTGATACAATAGAGTTTTGTGAGGGTTGAGCACAATAGCCTATATACATTAAATTTTCACTCATGTGGGGGATTATTGTTAGAATTGATTGAAAATTTGTAGGTGGGACCCATCCACTTGAATTTGTTCCCCAATGGCAATTTGCAGATTTAATTTTCACGTGAAGATTCCTAGACAAATTGGCCACAATAATTGTAATTATAATTGTTAATTGCAATCAGTGAGGAGGAAACCGCGTGGAACAGTTGGCCAATTGGCAAACTTGATCTATTTCTCCCTATAAATAGAGGGCTCGGCAGAGGGAGTAAAATGCACAAGAAAAGGAAAGAAAAAAAGAGAAGAAAGAAAGGGAGAAAGAAAGGAAAGAGAGAAAGAAAAAATATTCCGTCTGAAATAATATCTGAGGGATAAAAATAGAGGAAAAATTATCATAGTAATATTTTTTATTCCTATATTTTAAGTGCTCAATTCTCGACTCCGTTCCAGTTCGCCGGAGCTCGTAAATCTGGTGTGCTACAGATTTAGAGACGTTTGCCGTTGTATCTTTGGGGAAGTTACGCCTAAACCGTTAGCTGCCACACGGGGCGTATTCTTCTTGCGGAAAGAGTTTTACTCGCCTCGGCTAAAATCTTTCCGTTTTAAGTTGTAATTTATTTTTCAATTCGATTGTAATTTTCTAATTTTTTTTTTTTAGATTATTTGTAAGAACTGAAAAATACATATCAGTTCGTAGGATTCCCGTGTATTTTGACACCCAAAATTTAACAAAAATTAACACTCCTTTATCCTGGGTACACTTGGATAGATGAACCGAATTTTCCCATTTTCGAGTTGAGATGGTTGTTGAAAGCCTGTTTGAGCTTGATTTCCAAAGACGAAGAATCAGATATTGAATATTATTTTTATATCTTGTTTTTTAAAAGATGTGGAGTTGGTTTCCACCTCGAACTGACCTCGACCAGTTGCATAAGGGAAATATACGCGATATTGATCAGCTTGAACTAAAATGGGTTCTCGTTTAGTTACTGTAGCTTTATATTTTCTCTAGAATATCCTTGAGCTATATTATTTTAGGTTCCATTTGATATGTTAAACTCTTAGCTGGATGAGCACGGGATTTGGAGAATATCGAAAAATTACGAAAATCAACCGAGATCACTCCACCGGAAAAAAACCGTAAACTTATTCCACATTTTCCAAACTGAATTGAAAAATAATCCTTATTCTTATGGAGATTTCATATCCATACCAAGGCAAGAACCGAACTATAACTTTAAATGTGCCTTGTCCTTTCATTTCACTAGTACGTACCCCGTGCAATGCCCGGGACAGAGATATTAAATAAGTTATTTTCACACTCTTGTCCATTTAAATCTAAAAATAATAGGGTTATTATCTATTTTCTACCTCTGTTAATCAATGTTAAGTGTAAAAAATAATAGGGTTATTATAAGTTTTTTTTTTACATCTTTTAATCAGCGTTGTTTTTTTTAGCCAGAACATTACATATGAGCATGTTAGGGCTAGCCTATAAATTAATTAATATATTATCTTACTAACACATTTGTACTAATAATAATTTAATTTTAGCATATAAATTTATCCCTTGATATAAGAGAAAGTAACAATTTTACTTATTGTTGTTCACTATAAAATATTTAATTATTATTTTATTATATAATAAAAAAGAATACTGTTAAATAGTGTAGTAGAATTGTTATAAAATTATATGAATTATTTTTTTTACAATATGGATTTAGTATCTTTTTATGATTTGATAATATAACTATAATATATTCTTAATTATACAATCTGAAATCGGATTACAGAATTTCAATACATAAATAATAAAATTTTTGGTAAAAAGATAAGAAGGAAATTTCAATTTCAATTTACAAAAAGTTTAAAACGATTTTATGAGATTTTGTTGACTAAACGGATTGTATGGGATAAAACAAATAGAAGATAAGAAGGAAATTTCAAATATACAAAAAATTAAAGTCGATTTTGTGGGATTTTTTCGCAGGAAAACCGATTGTATGGGAATAGTAATAACATTAATTGAATCGCATAGCATTAATTTCAATATAAAATAATTAAATAAAATACATGTTGGACATAGTAATAGCATTAATTGCAGTTGGCTTTTCTGGATACTATTTGTAGTAAATAGGATCTCTTTTTATACAAGTATAGATGTCTGTTTTAGTCAGAAATCATTTGAAAATTTTCATAATACCTGATAGCATATATATTAGTCATTTAGTTTCACATAGATTTGATATTTTCAAAAGCTTAGTTATATTGCTTTTTTGTTATTTATCTTATTTTTATTTTGTTTTATAGTTAAGATGATATGAAAAACTAGAAATTTTATTTTTCAGAATCATATATATTATATTAGAAGTTCACATTTTCACTATTAGGTTTCACAAATATAGTTTATGAATTCATTTCTTTTCTTTTGTTATTATATAATAAGGCTGATTTCAATACGAAATCCTATAAGATTAAAAATAAATAAATAAAAGATAATATAAAATAAAATAATAATGATAATAATAATAATAATTTCCCTTTGTATTCCTAAGGAAAATGAGATTTATTCCTAATGTCTAGGCATGACTAATTCAAGAGAAACAGCTAGGACTATTCGTTATTGTTGGTCCAAAAGGATTTGACTAGTGGCATTGGTCTGACAGGAATTTGACTAGTGGCATTCATAGTGTAGATGATATGCCGTGGTCTTGTGGAGCTAAAGAAAAGCATTTTTAGTGCAAAAATTTTGGTCGATATTGGAAAAACACACTGGAAAATTTTAGTAGCCAAATTGCCTGAACCATAATTTCGTATCTCTGCAATGGCTTTCTCATATCCCTCCAAGAATGCCTTCTTTCTTCTTCACTTGTTAATCTTCACATCATTAATTCCACACCTTTCTTGTGACAAAGTGTTACTAGGGTTGTATTACGAAAGCCTTTGCCTTAAGTGTCAGCTTCGTTGTTGACTCTAGCAATGATCTTTAGTGATGAGCTAACTGATGGTTGGTTCAATCTTGGTCCTTGCGGCAATGCCAAAAGTTTCTGGAGACTGCAATGTTAAATGCCAGGTCATGCATATAAAAGTGTTCCTCAACCTAGAATTAAGTTTATAGGAGGGTATCTGGAAAATCACATCTTCTCACTCTTATTGTTGAGTTTTGTGGTTATCTTATTTGAACTGTCTGCATTTGCATAACTAATTAAATTTCTTAATGGTTGCAGCATGGCCCGTGGGAGTGCATACTGAATACTGTCGAGGCTTGTGCTATTGATGTTTGGCCTGATGTGGTCAGTATAATTTGCTGAAATTTGAAACATCAAATAGTGCATGTTTAAGCTTATAATCTGGTCATGAAAAAGGTGGCCATTTCTTTATCTTTCCTGTTGTGGGAGGTCATATAATGTACCTGTTCCGTTGAACTATTTTTTGGTGGCTTGATATGCTTATGATGTACTAGCATATTTGTGGCCGCATCTATTTTTGCAGCTGATAAGGAGAATCTTGCAAAAAGTTCAGTATTTTCCTCGTTGATGTGTCTCTGAAACAAAGTTCTTGTTTTTTGTTCTCGTCCGAACTCTTACTGCAGAAGGATCACTTTCCATTTATTTATTGTGTGGAGAGTCTCGTATATGAGAACAACTATACCTACTGGGAAACTTGTTTCGAGAAATTGGGTTTGGATGCGTCTTCTGTGACTCATTGTTTGAATAGTGAGCGTGGAACAGAGGTTAGTTTCTACTGAAGTAGTTACCCATTGCTATATTAGGTGTTGTGTTGCTTTTTCCCTGCAAGAGATTGTTATAAGCCAAGAGTTTCTTCTTCTGTTTTTTTTTTTTCGTTGATAGTTATTCTTGTTTCTTTTTTTTCTTTGATATTTATGTTTTGGGGCTAGATTTTCTGCTTAATTTTTATATTCACTCTATTGGATGAATAACATATACAGATGTGACATTGTCATTTACACAAGTCATTGATCCAATTAATTTAAACATGAAGTGGAACATAAAAGTGAAATAGGAAACATAGTCCTTATTTATTATGAACTTTAAATCTAAATAAATACTTAATGGGAATGTGTAGATTATTGTTAAATAAATATCTGCACAACTTAATACCTATAATTCATTTTCTCTGTTATTTGCTTTTTCCCGAAGAGTATAACTCTCATGGACATGAGTTTGGAGGGTGAAAAATATGACTTGAGGTTCCATTTGTCCAGATCAATAGTTGACGACTGAGCATGGGTTACTATATTCGTATATGCTATTTTCTGTGTGTTAAGCTTTCTGTCTAATTTAAGTAAATTTCAAACAGCAAATAGCTGACATTAGTGAGGAAAGTTACTTATCAGTGAAATATTTATAACCTATTTATATGTGAGGTCTTCTTCTGCATGCTCCAAATTTGTTACTTTGTCATTCTTTCACAAGTACGTGGACAAGTATGTCATTTGCTTTATCCTATAATCTCGGTATTTTTGAATGTGTGGAATGACCCCTTCCATTCATAATTGATCTCCACCCCAGATGCTATAAACTACTGTATGCCGTTAGTTTGACACATGTTAATGAATTGGAAAATAAAGAAAGCTGGTTTTTTAAACAGAGAAAAGATCTATTCATCTTTTGTACTTGAGGAATTTGGATTAGAAGTAGTAGCATGAACGAGCCTTAAGAATCTCAAAGCATGCCGATTTTTCATTATGTTCGTTCCAGTGAAGAATAAATCATTATAAAGTTTGCTCTTGTAACTTAATATTTCTTGCTCTTTCTTAATATCCAAATGCTAGAATTATACATTACACCAATTATTTTAGTGTGAAAGATGGTGTTGGGAAGGAATTTCCAAGTCAAATTTTAAAAGTTTTTACTATGAAATACTAAGGCTACTGTACTTCGTTCATCTGCCCTTATGAATGTCAACCCTATAGTTTACTATTCTATAATTTGGTATTCTAAAAAGGACATGTTACTTGAAGGAAAACATAATGTTGAGCTTGTTGCGAGACTCTCGAATGGTGGTTAAGACATCTATCTTAACACAATTGGTGTTTCATTTAGTTGTTTGGCTAAATAAACAAGGCATGGAATTTATGGGAGGTTTATATATTCCTTCTTTTTCTTCCATTTAATAATATATCAGTTGCTTGTAGTATCATTCCTGGCTCTGGTGATTTATTCTTTATTTGCTTCTTCATTAAGCATTTTCTACACTCACCTAATATTGTGTAGAATGGTTATTGCAGCTTGAGCTAGGATATGCAGCTGAAACAAATGCACTTCAACCACCTCACACATATGTACCATGGGTGGTTGTGGATGGACAACCACTATATGATGTTCGTATTTTCCTCTGCTTAACTTTTCCAGACTTGAGTACCCGAGTCATTTAATACTTATATGCTGGCGCTCTCCAAGATCAGTAAATTATAATTTGTTGACAATTAAACGCCATAGATTATCTTTATTTGCATGATGCTGCTCAAGTTTGGTTGTTACGACATGTCACAGTTGACCAGATATTACCTATATATGTAATTCTGCCAATATTAGATATAGAGAGTTATAGACTTCCTCTGATAAATGTGATTTTCTGTGTTGTAGGACTATCGAGAGTTTGTAAGCTATATCTGTAAAGCATATAAAGGAACGGCCAAGCCGTCTGCGTGCACCGAGCCCTCAGTTGGACAAAGTCGAAAAGCAAAAATGAATTTGATCAATGTTCTGTATGGGGAGAAGACATACAACTCAAAACTGTTTCAGTCAGTTCAGAATATACTTTCATGGCTAAACAACAAGAAAGTAGCTTCCGTGTGACTGCTGCTCTTCCATGATCCATAGGTTGTCTTTATCGTAATATGAAGTTCATATGCTCATACATTAAAAATTTGGAGGTATTGTTGTACCTTTGTGTAATATTATTTTGCTTTTAAAATGACCTGCCAACTGTGGTAGAGGCTTTTATGACACGGTGGTCTTTCATGGCAAACTGAATCTGCAAGCAGTTCATTGAGCCTTCTCGGCTAGGCTTAGTTGCTTTATTCAAGGTAGGCCTCATGTATGCATTATACATATTTAGCATATTAATATAGGACATAAGTTGAAACATTTGAGATACAAGATCCTTTAGCGAACATGTTCTGTAGACATATATCTTTTAATAACTACCCTAAATTTTGTGTTACATGCGATCTATCAAATAAATTTTAACTAGTCATATGGATAAAATAGTTGTTGTTAAACAACCAACACTGGTCTTTCCGATCAGGACGTAGACAAACCGCAGGTGGATCTAATAGTTGTTCCCCAATGGACATAAGACCAGTCATAAAAAAAAGTAACAAGAAAAGCAACCATACAGGTCTTTGACTCGTCCGGAACCCATGCGCCTACTCACGACTGCTCACCTGCTCGAGTGATTGTTTAACAGCTGGGGATTGGCGGGCGTGGGTATTCAAGTGGTCCTGCAGGCAGCCAATCCCCGGCCCATGTTCAGGGTGGGATCTATACTTGACTTCAAACTGAGCTTCTCAATTCGTTAGAGTGAACCCTCTTTCTCTACTTTCTTTACGGCTTGGTTACTCACACCAGTGCCTAGGTCTTTACTTGATCCAATAGAGTGAGAAGACCTTTCTATCTCAAAGGAATGGTGCCAGAAGGCTAGGCTAATAAGACAATTGCTGATGGCCAAGGTGACGAAGTAGGCTCTACCGCTGTCATACGAAGGGGTCTTTTTTACATTCATTCTCATCTATGGCTAAGAACCTGCACCTTGCTCGGGGCTCCCTTCAAGTGGATCCCTTTCTATCAGATTAAGAAGGAGCATTCATTCTGCTCTGGATCACCAGGATAAAAAAAGAAGAAGAAAGCCGCCAATTGGGGCATAGCTAGTCAAGTGCAAACCGTCGTCAGATCTCGGAGCTGGTCCCTCACCCGAGAGGAAGAATCGGCATCTTGCGGAGACCTGTCGGAGTATGCTACATGCCAAAAATGTGCCAGGGAGATTTTGGGCAGAGTGTATGAAGACAGCAGCTTATGTGATAAAGAGGCTTCCTCACATGAATCGCCTGTCTCGTGGGGTGGATGCTTGTGTTGTGACTCTTTTTAAAAGGCCTTTTCGATATCTACGACAAAAGCTGTTCTCGGTCCGACCTTTGCGTGTAAGCGTTGGCTGTTTCGGTAGAAAGGAGTCAGACTTTTCCTTTCGTTGGCACATAGGAGCCATAGCCATATGCTGAAACCATTTAGTGTAAGCTGGGATTTTCTAAACACAAGAAAATTCGCTTTCAACAACGTCAACAAGACCACGAAAAAAGTCCACTATGGTTGCCCACTGATCTGATCATAGGTTCAATCCAATCCCTTCGCTTCGCGCCTTTGTTTTCTTTGGGCTTAGTTACGGACATTCTCGTTTGAACAAGAGCTAGCTTTGCTACCCTGGTATTCTCCGAGAGCTTAGACGCCACCGGGCTTATTCCTCTTTGTTGAGGTTAATTACATCAAGCCTAGAGAAAACCAATGAAAGCGGGTCAGTCGGCTTGCCAATCAACTGATCAGTTCACGAAGGGACAGAATCCGCTTATAGAGGGGGCCCCCGCCGAGCAACTTTCTCCCGAACGAAGTGAAAAAAAATTCGACATCTTTCGTTCAGGCATGGAAGACCGGGTGAACAGCCCTATGGAGTAAAGGGTGACACTGAAATTTGCACAGTGTAGAAGTGAAGGGAGAGAGAAACGAAGACCCAGATTGCAAAGCACGTAGGAAAGTCATAGGAGTTCAAATGCGGTGACGGCAAGAGCTTTATATTCGGCCTCGGCGCTAGACTGTGCCAAATTCTCGCCCCTTTCCTTATTTCTTTGATAATAGAGTTGGCTATCTTTGTGGCATCGATTGTACAAGTTCGTGAAGAGGGCTGGACGAGACCTTCCTCCACTCGATCACCTCCGCAAGAGTCTAATCATGATCTTGTCACTGAAACAGGAGCGTCTTTCTTCGAAAGAGCTGCTATTCCGGGAGGTTGGACCAGGTACGAAGAATGAATCTATATCTGTGTACGGAAGTTGCCGGCCTCCTTTTTCACCGGGTGTGGCGATCCGATCCCAGTTGATTGATCTCGACTTTACCAGCTCATGAACGGCATTCGTCAGACTTAGTAGGTTTCGTCTGTCGTGAGATAGCTGATTCCGAAACGGATATATCCATAGGGTGTTGCACCCATTCCGTTGAAAGCTAGATCCACATGAGGTGTGTAATGCATAGCTAAAAAAACGCCAGTCACTATCTGAATGACTAAACAAAGACCAGCTTTGACGACACAGGCCTTAGCCCATTCCTTGAAAGGCCTGTTTTAATTACCCACATTATTAATATGATTCCCCTTTGACTTCTCCCCTAAATAAGGGTCTGGAGTGCCAATCCTTGCCAAGAATCAACGACGAAATTCCGATTGTTCAGAGAATTAAATCGGTTCTATTAAGGACAGGTCGTATTGAGAAAAAAAGATGAAATAGCGCCTCTATTTTGAGGGGTTTGGGGAAGGCCATTGGTAAGGTGATCAAAATAGACTACCAAACACTCAATCAAGGGGTTAATTTGCTAGATTGGCGGTTGAATTGGATCTCTCCAAACCGTTGTGCTCCCAACTGGAGATAAGGTCTACGTGAGTATGAGGAAGCTTCCCCAACTTCTTGCTTTGAACGAACGTCAATCAATGTCCGACTTCAAACCTACTTGCCTTTTGAGCCTTCCTTGAATGTGGCACTGAACTCTGGCAGAGACCTTCTCCCATTGCCCCCTTGGCAAAAGCCCCTTCTTCGGAAGTGAAAGGCTAAAGAGACCAAACTTTCCATGTGCTCTTGACGTCCTAAATGAAAACCAAGAAAGAACTCGACTGCTGCCATCCGGCTTCTCGGTTAGTGTGGTGCTTGCCTTGAGCATACAAAGGAAAGAAAAAATCGACTTTTGCGGAGGCGTCCCAGTACCTTTGGACGGTACTCCAGCACTCTTAGATGGTGCTGTCTTCAAAGCCCTTAGTAGGACAATGCTCTGCTCTCTGCCCACGAACCTTTTCGCTTCCTAGCTTTCTGACTGAGCAAGTCAGCTCAAAGACTTTCCGGTAAGAAATTCTCATCGTAGAGATTATACCCAAGGCTAAGCTAAGCGGGGGGCGTATCAGCAGCTACGCTCTAACGTCTATAATAACATATTGGTTCTGTCATGCACTAATATCGTCCAACCTGGGGATATTCTCTTCCTTTCTACACCGAATCTACAATTGTCACCTTACAATTTTATTCTAACTTACGCATTGAAGGATCTTGTTAGTGTATATACTTAAAGCTAGGATTTTTAAGTAATAAACACTATATTTCTTTTAAATGAGAATCACGTTTAATTAAATTGTTTTATATTATGATGTTTTATGTGTGGATATTGTGGTCCATCATGGATGAGACAGAAGATCACGTATTGGTTACTTGTAAAACATAGATAATTAGTTCACAACCTAGATGGAAATGAACAACTCATCGTGAACGGTTGTAGTGTTAACTTTACAGTTTGTCTTGATTGATTAGTTGTACTAGTGCGCTGTGTGCATTGAACGGATCTCAAAGAGGATAAGTTTTGAACTAATTGGTAAACAAACTATACCTTAGTTAATTACTGCTTACTCTTTACTCGCAATATATAAACAGGCACTTTGATTCACTAAAACGTGAGATCCATTCTGTTGGATCAATAATCTAGTATTTTGGGTAGTGATGTTGTATGTATGGCGTGGTGTTCGATTATTTACGGTCACTGTGTGCGATAATCTGATAATGTTCTCGAGATGAGCTTAAGAATGATTATTATGTTGAACCCTGCAGGTGGATTAAGTTTCGACATAATAATAAGGCATTGAGTGGTACTAGTCTCGGCACAAGAAGTCAATTAATATATTATCAGTAATTAATTAGTTATGGACATCATATTTTAAACACACGGAGATAAAATCGAATAATTATTATCGGAGTCTCGAATTGTAATTCGGGAGCCAAATGGGGAGATCATTTTTTTTTTTAGTTAATGAAAAGTCGTTCAAATATGAGCGTAGTGGGCTTGGCCCACAGATGGACCCATATTTAGTAAGTCCATATTTTACACCTCTTTAGGGTCCTTATTGTAGCCTATAAACACACATCTCATGGAGGTGAAAATCATACTTGAGAGCATTGTGAGTTAGGCACAAAAAACAAACAAAGTGTGTAGAGGTAATACAATAGAAGTCCCGAGGTAAACCGAGCATTAGAAACCCGAGCCCCGCGACTCGCGAACGTTGACGAGCCTCGCGACCCGCAATCGCTCGACGGCACCGCGACCCACAACCGCCGCCACCCTGACTACGTCTGACGTCCCGACGTGCTCCGACCGGCGATTAGCTCCTTTTGGCGACCCGTTTTCTACTCCGGCGATTGACGAGCGATCAGACGACCTCCATTAACAAAAATCAGAAACGTCAAAAAGCTGACAATTGTTTAAGTCGCGAGTATTTACTTTTAACTCTAATCCGTTGTGCTCAGGCTTAATCTTTTATAGACTTAAAGATCTGTGACTCGCACAAAATACGACGTTTCTGGAAAAACCCCAACAAGTGGTATCGGAACACTCATGGCATGATTGGTATGAAGGAATGACATGAGAATAGAATGATCATTCCCTTCTTCATTCCTATTCCCATGATTGGTATATTTTTTGGGAAAGAATGACCTTTCCAATGGAAATGGCAAAACCCATCTCCATGGGATTAGCCATTTCATAGTAAATGAAAGATTTTTTTCTCATTCCAATGTGTGTAGGAATCAATTTTTCAAAAATAAAATTAACAAATAATAATAAAAAATAAATATATAATATATAATATAAATCATGATTAAAATATATTAAATAAAATTATTTTTAAAAAAATTCAAATAAAAAATTAAAAACTTACTTTTATTTATTTTTTAATTAGATATATTAAATACTTATATAAAAATAAAACTAAAAAAACATTTATATATAATTTAAAAATATATTATTTTATTTATATATATTATTAAAAATATATTATTTTTTATATATTAAAAATATATTACTTTTAAAAATATATTATTGAAAAATATTAAAAATATATTATTTTATTTTTAAATATTATTAAAAATATATTATTTTAAAAAATAAAATTCAAATAAAAAATTGAAAACTTACTTTTATTTACTGTTTAATTAAAAAATAAAATAGATATTATTAAAAATATATTACTTTTTATTTTAAAATATTATTAAAAATATATTATTTTTTATATATTAAAAATAAATTACTTTTAAAAATATATTATTTTTTATATAAAATTTAAAAATATATTATTTTATTTTTATATATTATTAAAAATATATTATTTTTATATTATAAAACAATATATTATTCTATTTTTATATATTATTAAAAATAGTTTATTTTATTTTTATATATTCTTAAAAAAGCATTTATAATTTATTAAAAGTATATTATTTTTTAAAATAAGCTTTTATTTATTTTTATAATAAAAAATAATAATGTCATTTCATTCCAGCCCTATTCATTCTGCATACCAAACGCATCAATTACAAAACATGTTTCATTCAATTCCCATAATCATTCCGTTCTTCAATTCATTCTATTCCTACCAAATTTCATTCCATCATACCAATCATGCCATCAGTTTAATTCGTGTTTTGTGTAAAGTTTGGATCTTTAGGTTTTATGTGTTAAATATGCATGAATTAAATGTCTTCAAGGCGCAACTTATAATTATTGGATTATTATTATTGTATAACCTGAATTTGTAGGCTTATTTGTTAATCCACTATTATAGCCTTGAATGTATGGTTTTAATTAAATGTATGTTTTTTAAAGCCTTAAGATTGTTAGGTTCTAATTGTTTGTAATATATATATTTGCACGGTGGGACACCGTATAGATTTATTTTTTTGTTTAGACGAGCATGTAAACCCATCCATGGGTCTAGGATTCATGTAATTTATTTTTATAATATAGTTGTAGTTGGCAGACGAGCTCGGACAACCACGAAGACTGACGGATCTTGTCGATCGGCGACGGACTGGCCGACCCATACGGCTATAGCTGAGCAAGGCCGCGCAAAGGTTGCAGACAGCTTGCTATCCCGGCGGCCCGATCATGTAAGGTAAGCACTGGCCACGGCAGGTGCGTGCGATGTCGGGAGATGAGTCAATGACCTTGGAGACGGGAGTTACTGCATGCATGGACGAGCTCAACGAGCATGGTATGTGCGCAGGGGATGCCCTGTCATCCCAGGGGTGCTCGTGTGTGCCGCTTTGACAGCAACACACAAACGTTCGATGCGGATGGGTCTCGCAACCGCCCAACAAGGCGTAAAGGCACTGGCAGCGCGTTTCGCGCGGGTGATGAAGATCGGGTATCTCAATACATTGTTTTGTGTTGAAGGGCACACTAACGACCTTTCTTCTTTACGATAGACTGCCTAGAAGGGCGCACTATTGGCCTTCCTTCTATTGTATGATAAACACGCACTAAAGGCCTTGTTTAAACACAAAGGTTTTGTTCTTGCGACGATTTTCTTAATTCTTCTTTGCCTGCCTCGAATGTAGGAGTACATTGGTACTTAAAGAAATAACTCCTAATCCTATACTAGTCCAGAATCAAATACTAATCTTATGAAAACTAAATATCTATCCTAGGTAATTAAGTATTTAATATCCTATAAGACTTCCAAATAAATAAAATACCTAACCATTTATACTAATAAACTCACGCCGTAATCTGATAATTTCCATACTAATAAAACTCGTAACAATTAACATACTATTCACGTGAATACTAAATCCTAACAATCTAATAATTATCTAATTAATATCTTCTAGAATAATTTGACCATCTCCAAATCTTCTAGAAGGCAAGACCATCTTGTTGGGAGAGTCAGCTCATGTCATGCCCGCGTGTTTGCCGTCACGCATGCATGTTGCTCGCACGCGGGAAGCGCGTGCCCTAGTGCATCTCCATGCGCGACCTTCTCAGGTCTGGTCCATTACACGCGTTGTGCCCAACCCATCTCTACTGGCGCCGTTCGCATTGCGCACCCGTACACGCGCGACGTGTCGCGTGCCTTACACTCTCGCACCTCGCCTGCCTCGCACTCATGCCCATTGCGCCGCTCCGCGCGCGTTACTTTTTCGTGCGGTCTATTCGCGATTTGTCTACCGCGTGCTCATAGGCTCGTGTCGCCGCTCGCGCAGTCGCGCCTTGTCGACCTTGTCGACCCATGCATCGCCCAGGCCTTCGCGTGGACCTCTCGGGTTGTCTCAGTGATGGTTGCGCTGTCTCTCGGCCTGTTGTCCTGGTGTGGCCCGGGTCACCTGCTGCCGAGAATCTGCCTTTGTCTTGGCGATCAACGGCTGTGGTTGCTGCTAGTGACGTGTCGAAAAGCACATACGCACCATTCTCGCCCCCTTTCGAGAACATCCTTGTCCTTAAGGATTAGAGCACTTTCTCCTCAACACTCTCATCGGCTTCTACTTCTCAACCTCTTCGAAGTTGGCAGGCTCTTCATCCCAAATAAGAGGACCCTTGTATTCGGTTGACACCGGTTCATCCACGAACTCGGTATCAAAGAAACGGGTATCTTCGTACTTGGTCGATACTTGCCCCTCCATTGATGCACGCTCGATTTTTTTTTATTTTATTGCCCAACCATTCACAATTTTTTTTTTTAATGAGCTGCGATTAAACCCTCCAATAAGTAAATAATTTTTTTAACTCCCGCACAAACTCTTAAAAAATCATTTTTTTTATGCAAACAAAACACAAGAAAAACGAAGAAAATACACGATCAACACCTCTCAATAAAAGCACCAATGATAAAGATCGTGTATCTCGATACCTTGTTTTATGTCGAAGGGCACACTAGTGGCCTTCCTTCTTCACGATAGATTGCATAGAAGGGCGCACTACTGGCCTTCCTTTTACGCGGTTGTATGATAAACACACACTAAGGCCTTGTTTAAGAGCATGAGGTTTATTCTTGCGAATAGTTTTCTCAATTTTTCAATGTCTGCCTCGAATGAAAAGCACATAGGTATTTAAAGAAAATAACTTCTTAGCCTATACTAGTCCTAATAGGAATTAAATACTAATCCTATGGAAACTAACTAACTATTTTAGATAATTAAATATCTAATATACTAAGACTTCCAAATAAATAAAATACCTAACCATCTAAACTAACAAACTCACGCCCTAATCGGGTTAATTGCACCACCCTCCATGTATTATACTAAATTTGTGCGTTATCCCCCTGTGATTCAAAAATTGCGTCCAACCCCCTTGTATTTTACTTTGGCCAGCATACGCCCCAACTTATGTCTGGGTGCTAACACCGTTACATTTTTTGTCAAACATCCCGTTATGCCCCTGTCGTTTGAGAACTCCCCACCCAACTATCTGAAACAAAACAAAAAATTAGAACTTCGAAGTTTCTCTCTCTCTCTCTCTCTCTCTCTCTCTCTCTCTCTCTCTCTCTCTCTCTCTCTCTCTCTCGCGCGCGCGCGCGCGATAAAATTCCAAATTTCTTCACCACGATTGTCCAAAATTCTATTAATTTTCAACTATTAATTTGTTAAAGTATTGATGGCTTATAACCGAGTTGTTATTTATCTTCAATGTTGAAGTCGATTGGAAGAGTAATCTTCGATATTCTAAAGCTAGCTAGGGTTCTCCATTTGCAGCGAAATTCTTTCTTCTCGAAGACATTATATCGATGGCGCATAAGGTACTTTCTGAATCCTCGACGATTAAATCTTATTACATTGAAAGCCAATAGTTGCATTCCTAAAATTAGGGTTCTTATGCCATGTGTTTTCAGAAATAGGATTTTTGGTCAATTGCCGTGCTTCTGATTATAAAATTGGGGAAAGTCGATTGCTTCATTTGGAAATTAGGAAAATTCGATATCTTCTAATTTAGAAATTAAGGTTTTTAGTGAACATTCATGCTTCTGATTTGAAAATTAGAGTTTTTCGATTTGAAAATTAGGGTTTTCTAATTTGGAAATTAGGGAATCGATAGCTTCATTTTGAAAGTAGAGAAAATCGATAGCTTCTGATTTGGAAATTAAGGTTTTTAGTGAACATTCATGCTTCTGATTTGAAAATTAGGGTTTTTCGATTTGACAATTAGGGTTTTTTAGTTTAGAAATTAGGGAGTGTCGATAGCTTCATTTTGAAAGTAGAGAAAGTCGATAGCTTCTGATTTGGAAGTTAGGTTTGTTAGTCAAGCTTCATGCTTTTGATTTTGAAATTAGGGCTTTTTGATTTGAGATTTACGGTTATTTATTTGATACTGTCTGTAGGTCGAATTGTGGTCTTTGTGTGAAATTGCTTACTTTCAAGAGTATTGATGTTATTTGTTGGAAGAATTTGTGGTCCATGTGTGATGTGGTCTTTGTTCTTTGTTTAATTGTAAAGGTATGGTGTGGTCCCTTTTGTATAGAAAGTATTGATGCATATAGTATTCTATTTATGTCGTGGTCCCTGATTTCATATTTTAATCATATCATACTTGTTGATTTGCAGAATATGACTATTGTATTTGATGTTAGAGTTGGTGGAGTGATAAAATGGGAGCCATTTGTGCACTACTTTGGTGGTCTAAGAGTTGCAGTTAACTACTATGATATGGACAGGTTGTCCAGGTATGAGATAATGGATGTGTACAGGAAGGCAGGTGAATCATCCACTGTGGAAATTTTTTCGCACAAGCCTGCAAAAACTCTACAAACAACAAAGAAGATCATGATGATTGCCAGTGATAGTGATATTTTGAAGTTGGTGAAGAAGTATACATGGGAATATGTCATCCCACTTTACTTTGAAGATTTGCAAGGCCCTCTACAACAATTGGACATTGATGGGAATCTGATGGATGCACAAGAAGAGATCCCACTTCTTGAATATCCATATACTCAAGAGGATATTCTAATAGACATGCATGGTGACCAACAAACATCACCACAACAAAGTGATAAAGAAGCACAACCTAAGGATGATTTGCAATCAGTTGAAGAAGAATCATACCATGATTCTTGTTCACAAGATGGTGTTGGTGAGGTGGATCTTACAGAAGATGGTGATGATGTTGGTTCATATGAGATGGATCCTACAGAAAAGAGACAATATGTTGTTTCTGTTGATGGTGTTGGTGAGGTTGATACTACAGAAGATGGTGATGATGTTGGTGAATATGAGGTGGATCCAATAGAAAAGATACATGATGTTGGTTCACATGATGATGCTGGTTAGAGAGATGAGACACTTAATGAAGCTAAAGCAAAGCATGGTGAAGAAGGATCTCAGACAGTTGGCTAAGAAGATGAACAAATTCATGAGAGGGAAGAACAACAAGCTGAGGGGGCAGAACATCATTTTGGAGATTCAGAGGATTCAGAGTATGAACCTGAAGAAGGTAGTGGTGAGTCCTCTGAATTATCTGAATGGGAATTGGAGGATCTAGAAGGCCCTGATGATGATGACATATTCCAACAGAGGGCTAATGATCATGCTAAGAAGATACACAAGAGGGCAAGAGAATGGATGAAACAAAGAAGGAAGCAGAAAAAAAATAAAAAAAAAAAACAAGAGAAGAAGCTGTAGGTTTGAAAAGGGCTAGGGAAGAAGATTAGTACAATGAAGCTGAGGATGATGACAATTGCTTTGAAAAGCCTAATAAATGGAATGATAGTACTGATATGTCAAGGTTTGAGCTGCAAGTTGGTCAGAAATTTCCATGCAGAGCAAAATTCAAGGATGTGATTAGAGATTTGTCTGTTAGAAAAGGATATGATTTGAGGTTTCCCAAGAATGAAGCCAAGCTCATTACAGCACAATGCAAAAGTGGGTGTGACTGGTCTTTGAGGGCCTCCATTATTGGAGGTTTGTCCACATTTTAGATCAAAACATTGAAAGGAAAACACACATGTTCTTAATGGGTACGTTACACGAGGACACGAATCACGGGGCTGTTATGCTGATAGGACGTTTGGACTGACTAGTCTAACAAGGAGCAGATATTTGAATTTCGATTTTGAATTCAAGACCTCAGAGGAAGGTCGAAGACATTACTTCAAAATCGTATAAAGTCTGAGCAGCGTGGTCGAATAATGGCAGTTATAATTCACCAAGCATGAGCCAAAATAAAAATCTACTCTTAGATCGAGTTATTTTAACTCGACTAGAGTAGGGGGGAGGGGGCAGATGAAATGAGATACCACACTTGGTCAAATAAACCCGATAAACCAACCAACTGAGCAGAGCTAAACTAGTTGGTCGAATAGAGCTACAGACAAGTCGAAGAGAGCTACAGGTCGAGCTAGGGCACCGCAAGTTCAAAGGAGCACTGACAAGTTGAGTTAGGGCTCTTGGACGGCTTGGTTGAAACTCGACTTGAAGGCATGATTGGTCACTGGATCGACCAGGTGAATAGATCACATAAGCTTAGCAAAGGAAGTAGTTTATCTCGATGTGATTTGGTTCGGTCGAACGATTAGACTGTCTAATAAGGCAGAATAATGGATAAGAAGGAATATTATTAGTATAAGAACAACACATGGATATGGACATGTGGCCTAACAAAATTGGGCGGTTCAGGCAGTACAGACGGTCAATCTGGGCAGCTCAAACGGGCAGTCTTGGGCAACAAGGTTACACACCCCTATATATGGAGGTGAGGTATGTTAAACCCAAAATTACATTCTATACATACTTACATACAGAGCTTTACATACACTACTGTTCATCGTCTCCGTTTATATATTGACCTAAGCATTGGAGACTCTACGTCGGAGAACTCCCCCGGTGTGGAGTTTGTGCAGGTACTGAAGGTCATCAACCGACGAAGAAGGCAATTCAGGTCAAACCGAACCGGTCCTAGATCTTTTACATACCACTTTCTATGATCACTCCTAACAACTACTACATCGTCTTTTTTCTCTCGTTTTAAGGTTTAAGCACAAGTTTTGAAATGCATCAAGTGCATTGGACTTCTCTTTTAGAAAATCAAGCAATGTATACCTAGAAAAGTCATTGACGGTACTTTTAACCTGGATTGGGTCAAGTTTTTTAAACGCATCAAGTGCAACAATATTTTATTTATTTATTCTATTATATAATAATATGTACTAATGCTAACAAATTATAAATTTATATAAAAGGCTTATGAAAGTTACACATTTATAAGAAAATTATAGTAAAACTTTTCCTTCAATCTATTTATTTTAAAATGAATATTTTTTTTATATAATTAAGCAACTTTTATAGCTAATTGTTTTTTCGGCATAACAAACCCTTTAAAATCACGTAAACATTTGCTATAATAATCATTATAATAATTCAATATTACTCAACTAATCAATTGGTTACTATGCGTTAAATATGTAAAAATCATGTTATTCATTATATTATATGCAACCAATATAATGATTCACATATAAGTAAAAAAGATTATAATTATATTAATTATTTTCAATAATTATCATATTTATTAAATGTGATGTTTGTTACATTACTTATAGTTTTAAATATAATATCTATGCGTATGGCTTCTATATAATATGTTATTTGTATCTGCTCATATGCACATGATTGAGTAATAGTTTCATTAATAAAATAAATAAAAGCGTATGAAAGTATTTTAATTTCCACTTTTGATTTCCCATTTTCTAATCATTTTGTTCGGTCAAAGTGGACTTGAGAAGGGTTTGTAGGTTGTTTGTCCTTGTATTGAGTTTACCTTGTATTGCTTGTGATTTAGATTCTTTCTTGTAATTGGTTGGTTTTAGAGCACCTGTCTGTGGCTCTAATTGTTTCCTTTGTGCAGTTGGGTCAGCCGACCCCCAGTCTGTAAAATGTTTATTATTTCTGTTTAATCTGAGTATCTTCTATCGTTTCGAAAAAAAAAAATAAAGTAGACTTAGGTTTTCAAAGTCTAGCCATTTTTTTTTTTCACTTGGTGTTGTCAAATGTGTAGTTGTTATTCAAACCAAATTGTTCGCTAACATAGTTCAATTTGACTTGTAAAAACTGGAGTCTGACTAGTTTGTATATTTAAACAAGTCAAACTCTAACAACTCATCAAGCATGTCTATCAAATAAGTCAGGTCAAATGTGTTTGCCATAAAGAAGTTAAAGTATGATTTTTATTAAATATTTAATATAAAATGCATGAATCGCACACTCAATAATATTTAAATGTGAATGCTACATTCATAAAATTAAAAAATCAACAATTATACTCTCTTGTTCTGTTTTATATGGAGATGATTATCTTTTAACAAATATTTGTGAATTATGACTATTAACTCATACATATAGCAATTGTTCATTTTTAATTGATTTATTATTTTTTTTTTTCAAAACGTACAAATATAATTCTTCTCATGTATTTGAATTTTAATTCAAAAAAACAACATACCTTTATTAAAAAGATTGCTATGAGATGGTGTAATAGTCCCACAGTTCTTGTTATATAACAAACCATTTAAGTTTCATGTATCATTTTATGAATATGTCAAAAAGTAAATGAGATTTAGTAGTAAATTTCATATACTCAAATAAATGAGATTATGAAATCCATTAGTTCAATTACATGCGAAGTATTCAGGTGGAAGTCTAGGACAATCAAATATTGAATCGAATTAAAGTATTTCAATGAACTCTATTTAATCAAATAATAAAAAATAAACACAAACAAGATGAAAAATGACATAATAAGCTAAAAAACAAAAGAAGATAGATATTTTAATCATGTTCAAGTATATAATTTGTTAATTTAATCTAAAATAAATTTAATTTATTTTTAGGCCAAATAAAATTAACATGAGACTAATCTAATATAATATGGGCTAAAGGTTTTTTTAATAGTAAAATTTTATAAAGGAAGAAAATTTAAGACCAGGGTAGAGCCCACCTAACCTTTGAGTGACTCCACCTCTAAATACATGTTGGTGAAAATTAAATAATAATAATAATAATAATAATAATAATAATAATAATTAAGAGGGTGATTGAATATCGATTTGATTGAGTTTCGATTGATTTTTTCGGCTAACCATAATTAATTTTGAAAAAATTATTGAGTTAGATTTGAGTGAGATTTTGAATTTTTATTAAACGAATATTTAAAAATAAATGATTAAAGTTGCTTTGATGTAAAAGTAAGAGAAAATTGACTAAAAGTGAAGTAGTTAAGATTATGTGAGTAGATGAATAGTGAATTAAAATTTGTATGATGTGTAAATATGATTGATTGATATTAGTTAATTATATTAATAATATTAAAAATTTCATGTTGAGGTAAAATTGTGTTATATTTGAGTTGTGATTATATTTATATTTTTATTTATTTATTTATTTGTTATGAATTAATCCAATCACACCTAATAAACTTGTCAACTGTCGTGGAACAACACCATTGAAGGTCAAAATCCTGTCATAAGTGTGTCTAGTCGAGTTGCAAAAACAAACAAAGATAAAGTGATGATACAAATTTTAATTTGACTGAAAATGGTTGAAACTTTTTTCAATGCGTTACTATTCAAGAATTTATTGGCAAACCGTCGCATTTTCAATTATCCAATTTTGACCCTACGAGGCGTTCCTATTTCCCTTCCTTCCATAGCTCAAAAGGCATTAGCATTTAGCAATAACAGGATGCTCGGCTCCTCTTTTTTTAAATTGTTTTGGGAATTGCTAAAGGGGTAAAAGCTCGCAGTTTTGTGGCCTAACTCCACCGATAGGAGGGTCACAACACAACGACGCAAAAAGGGGGTGCGGTAGAGGTGTGGGTCCCCCCTTTTTGTCTGTTCGTCAAGTTCTTGTCTGGCCGTAACCCTACACAGTTTGCGGGTATTTATGGGCACGAGATTTTGGTACTCCTCACAATACACATCCAGACCTTATTTATTTATTTTTTAATTTTCCTATGCGTGGATGGTTGCATATGTTTTTGCTGGTATATTAAATTTGATTAATGCGTTCGCTATTTTGTTTGTGTTGCGGATTTTCATGTGAATTTCGCCTGAAATATTAGAAAATTTTGAAATTCTGTGGGTTGTTTGGATTCTCTGGTGAGGCACTTGATATAATTTCTGTATTTCTTTCTGTATAGTTGTTTTGGCGACTGTGTTTATTAGAGACGTGGGGATGAGGTGCAAGCGCATCTATTTAACGTTCGGGTTGATCCTAGTGTTGCTTCTATCTGGTGAGTTTTGTTGGCTCTGATGAAAAGCTGTTCTAGTGTCTTTATTTGTGTTGGCTTTGGTTTGAATTGAAATCAAGAATGTATTATGAACTGCTGATGTTAAGATTTGGAATATACCATAGAGTGTACAGCCAGTCCTCTTCTGCTGTTTGTTGCTGTGTTTCTATTTCTTTGTTTAAAAAGGTGGAGAAAATTAGAAAGTATAGATACTTTTGTTTACATTAATTTATGGTTGGTTACTCGTATGTATCTCCAGTAGATATATTCTGAAATATTGATGACGGCTGGTATTTTGTCGTAAGTGGTAACTAGTAATTAGTGACTATCTCTCAGCATAGTCTTTCCTAGCCCATTTGAGTAGAATATTATTAGAACCGTGCATGGATGTATGAAGTTTTGAACACATGAATAAGGTGAAAATTTCAGAACTTGATATATAATTAAAAGACAGTTCTTTTATAGCTAGCCTGTCTTTCATCCAAAATGAGGTTATGTTACTAAAATTTTTTGTTTCCAGTATCTGTCAAATTAAAGGCTTATGAGGAAGATGGTGGCTATAAGAAGTGTGAACGTGAGGTCAAGAAATGGTTATTATCTTCAACTAATTCAGAGGTGAAAGATGACAATCATGCCCTGCGTGACTTACTCTTTTTCCTGCATGTCCCACGAACAGGAGGACGGACATATTTCCACTGGTAACTTGTTTTTTGTTTTCCTGTGCTATGAAACTGCCTGGTTCCTTGTTGCAATGCATAAAGAGATGAAATCGAGACTTTTAAAGTTTTCTGACATTTACTCTTCATATGTGATTTAAGATTTGCTCTTCATCAAACTTCTTTATGTAGTTTCTTGAAGAAGCTCTACCCAAAATCCCAGGAATGTCCGCGTTCTTATGATAAATTGAGAATCGACCCAAGGTAATTTTTATAAATTCTACTCATGTAGTGAATAGGAAATAAGAAATCGCTGACTATTTTTAGTTTTTAGGTTGATATTGTCAGCTACTGAGGATAGGCTTGCAATGGTGTGCTACTTTTGAACAATTTGATTTATTTGATTTTGAAAGTTGGTTCGCACGTATAAGGTATTAAATAATTGTCAATGTGGGTTTTCATAATGATTGATGAGATAATCCACCGTTGCCAATATATCAGAAATTATGGTAAGGTCCAAAATCTGATGCCTTATATAATTTGTTGGGACAATAAAAAGTACTCGAACTTAATTATTATTTTGTTCAATGACTATCTATTGGTTGTCAAGTGAGTGAAATACGAAGTAACACTACTATTTCTGACCTTACATGGAAACTTGGGGCATATTTTTGCCTTGGGGGGTACATTTTTTTCTTTTGATTTTGTTCTCCTGCCAAATAAAATAAACATTTGCTGACATGCTATGTATAATTTGTTAAGGATGGTACAGTAGATGCATAAGAGAATGTACTATCAAGTAGAGTGAGCAGTAGATATTACGATTCTTCTCAATGTTACAACAACAACATAGCCTTTAGTCCCAAGCAAGTCGAGGTAGGCTAGAGATGAAACCCAAGAGAAACACAAAAAGACTTGAACCGAAAGGAAGAGATCGAAAAGAAAAAAAGAAAAAAACGAGAGAGAGAGAGAAAGGAGCAAAAGTCACGGTTCTGGCACGTTGATAGCGAGCCTCCAAGCGCTCCTATCCACCGCTAAATCCTATCCACCGCTTCTCAATGTTATTGAATATATTTTTGTCTTTATGTATGTACACCTATATAGTTATATATATAATGTGTGATTTGAGTTTTATGGTGCAGAAAACCAAACTGCCGGTTATTAAGTACTCATGATGACTACAGCATGATGTCAAAACTTCCCAAGGAGAAAACTTCAGTGGTGACAATACTTAGAAATCCTGTTGATCGTGTATTTAGCACTTACGAGTTTTCTGTGGAGGTTGCTGCTAGGTTTCTGGTTCATCCTAACTTAACATCTGTTGCAAGAATGGACAAACGCATACGTCGTAAGAAATCTGGCGTAGGCACATTGGATATCTGGCCATGGAAGTATTTGGTTCCTTGGATGAGAGAAGATCTATTTGCTCGAGTATGTTCAGTTACTATTATTTAGAACAGCCTTGTGCTGGAATATTGGGATAATATTTGGGTCTAATATATCTAACCGGATGCTTGTTATGTTGAACTAACTTGTGGCTGAGATAATTTTTGATTCCATAATCCTTTATCTCCTCGACCGCCCCTCAATGGCAAAAAATACAACTTACTTGACCAAAGGAAACAGAGAAAGAAAAGTAGTTTCGGAGTATTAATTAAGTTATTTATTGTCAGATACTTCCTGAATCTTGCAATTTATTGTCTATTGTCTCATTAGGCGGGGCCTTTTACAGCTTATATTCCCATTAACCTCTTGGATATGCATTGAAAATATCATTTTTCACTAATTAATGATTTCATAGTAAGATATTGTTAACCATTGTCCCCCACCAATAGCTGACTAAAATAGAGTAGTTGCATCTTATTTGATAGAGATTCTGGTAGAAATGTTTTTGTGCCTTATATGACTTCTTACTATGTTATCATACTGTCAGCTATGATACTATGTTTCATGCCTACTCTATAGCTAGCCAGTATCATGCTTCCTTTTAGGTGTATACATGTTTCACTTTCGAAGATTAGGAATTGGAACATCATTATGCTACAGAATATGAAACAAGCTAAACTTTTTTTTTTTTCTTAATGCTACTCTTGAAATTCAGCAGTAGCCTATCTAATGATCTATTGTACATTTGATGGCAGAGAGATAGAAGAAAACTTAGAGGGGAAACTCCTTTAGTAACTAATAACTCATATGACATGGTGGACATGGTGATGCCTCTTCATAAGTACATCAAAGACCCTATTGCACGAGATATTGTCCATAATGGGGCGACCTTCCAGGTATTTGCAGTGTGCTCATGGTTATTTTGGGGATTGCTGTTGGTTTCTGAGAAGGTGTGCTTTTAGAAATTGTGTAGTTATTTGATTCATTCTGGGATGGAACTTATGGCATAAAAAGGAAAGCACGGGGAGAAAATTAAGGAAGAATGGAATCTGCAGCATGATATTATAATATTATATATTCTTTATTGTCTTAATAGGTTAGATAGTAATTCTCTATTGAAGAATAATCCAATTTTCTACTTGTGATATTTTGCTCAGTAAGTAGGTGGAGTCCTGTAATCTTTCTCCTTAAAAGGAAGTAAAAATTATATCATTAAGGGGAGCAGAAATCTTAATCCCAAGAAAGGGCCAGCGAGTTTTGGATCTCAAGAAAACCCAATCATTCTCAATTTTCATAATTTCCTGTGACGTTATATTCGGTTGTATCTTTATTGCTAGACGCTCTCTTCCTCTTTAGAAAGAGAAATCGGAAGAAACTTGCCTTGAGTGACTTAATTGTATATAACTTATAATGATCTTTCAAACTTAGAGATACTCTCTTAGTTTGTGTTTGGTTGGACATTGTTTATGTGCCCGATGGTTTCCTACCAAATGCACTTGGCCTGATGTTCCCTATTTGGCTGTTTGGTTTGCGATGGTGGTCCAAGGATTTGGACTTTAATAACTTTATTCCTAGTACGCAAGACAGCTAATACATTATTGTTCTCCATTTTGTCCTTTTAACCTGCCATAAAACCCTTCTCACCATATCATAAGCCGACAAAGAAATCATTTCAGTGTTGGGTGGTAATGTAGAGGCAATCATACAAAGATATCGACAGGTCTGAATACCCAGCAAGTCTTAATTTATCAGGTAACATTTTAGTTGGAAACCCAATTGGAGAAGAGAATAATTTCACGGAAATTAAAAAAAGAAAAGAAACAATTATATGGAATTTTTTTTTGGAGAAAATGTAGATTGTCATATGACAGAAGCAATTACATCTCAAAACTACTGAAAGCTGGTTGTTTTTCTCACAAAGTCCACGAATACGGGCCGCGAGGTTTGAGATAAAATTAGGGTTTGCCAGAGGCAAAGTTTTCGGGTTCCTCATTTGGATGCAAATGACATGTATGTGCTATTGAATGAAAGGTATCGACCTACCGTCTATCGTTGGGGGTATTTGTGTTAATTTCCACTTCATGAATGAATGAGTGTTGGTATATGTGGGCACTTTGGTGGCATGAGGTATAAGCCAATTGTCTGATAATTCAGGGGGCCAGCAACGATTTTCAGGGCCTGCTAATGACCAACCATTGTTTGACCATTGGATATTGCATGAAATGGCATGATATCACCCTTATTATGGCCATCCAAACACACTCTTAAGGTTATTGATAGAGATGAAAGAATCGATGGAAGGATATGAACTATAGAATAAATCATGCTTATATTTTGTTCTTAATCGTATTTAATCTTATAGATTAATCTCAGGAATTCTAGCTAATTTATTATATTCCTTTATATGCCATTTATTTTCATGTTCCTTTTATTTCTTATTGCTATTTATAGTAGCAATAGTTTAGCATGTAAGATAGGATTGGCAATAGCACTAGAACACAACAATTTATTATGTAAAAGCTAAGACTATTTGGCTATTTTATTCTTGCAGGGCAGAAATCTAATTTATGCTGGAGAAGTTTAATACTTCTTTTTTCCCAATGTTATATATTATCAATAGAATTCGAAGATTTCATTGTTTCCTAATTCTTCACTCCTAAGTCCCATCAGTTTTACAAACGCAACCTGATACTCAGTTTGTCGAATAGAAATAAGAATCAAGGTGGTATTTGTTATCCTGAAATATAATTTATTTATTTATTTAGTTTTTGTTATTAGACTAAACCTGGTGGGCAGCTTTGTGAATTATCCCCACCATCAAGACAATTTTGCAATGTGTTTGGAATTTTGGATGCATCATTTTTAATATTTTATTTGTTTACAGGACCTCTTAAGTCATTTGACTGCATCTGTTTCTGATTTTTCTCCATCTTAAATTCTCAGATCACAGGTCTCACGAACAACTCCTATTTTCCGGAAGCACGTAAAGTGCGTCATTGTGTGCTCAAGTATCCGAACCTTGGTAAATATGTGCTTGAAGTTGCTAAGGTATGGAAGGTCTTTGTGAGGACATTAGATATTTGATTAATGTTCACTTCTATTCTTGTACTATTTTTATGATCTGGTCCTGATTGTGTGTTAGAGCTGTAAATCTTTCAGGGGAGGTTGGACAAAATGCTTTACATTGGACTCACTGAGAACCACAAGGAATCAGCATCTATGTTTGCAAATATTGTTGGTACACAAGTGATATCTCAGCACTCGATATCAAGCTCCAGTAAAGAAGTTGAAGCTGACAGTGATTCAGGTATTGATTTAAACAGTATCCCGTTTTGTATATTTTCCCATAATTTCATATTTGGGGTTGTCTATTTTGGGCATCAATGCTCTTCTTGTTGAGATAACAATTCTTGGATTCTAGTGATGTTTAGCTATGCATTCTATCAGTATCAGGATACGTATTTTTTTTAGTACAGGATTCTAGAAACATTTTTCTGGTATACACTTTTGGATTGGAGTATTACTTTTCATTACCATGTTCTTTATGTGCTGCAGAACACAACTCTTTGCTTTCTGATACAGAATCTGATTCTAATGATCAAGTAAGAAGCTGATAATTTATTTTCATCTCAATGTGCTTTGACGATTAAGAGTCCTGAACAAGTAAAATTTGTTATTTTTCTGTATTACAGGGCAACAGCACTAACCAGACCTTAAAGAATGTTTCATCAACTAGCGACGATGAATTATCACATGAAAATGTTTGCTCTATTAAAGCAACTTCTTCTTTGTTCTTTTTTTTTTTTTTACAAAAGAGGAAATTATTAATTTTGAGCTGTCTCTTTGTCGTTCACCAGTTGACCATTGGCAAGCTAATGGATGCATATGAGCCTTGCATTGCAAATTTAAGAAACTCCCATGCAGAGAGGCGTGTAGCTTCTTTTAATCGAATTTCTCCAGCAAATTTTACAAAAGAGGTATGGTAAGAAACAGCTTAAGCATGTATGATTTTACATCCCATGCCACTGCTTGTGATATTATCAGTTTTTTTTTTCAGTCTCGTAGTAAGGTTCCTGATGCCCTTATCCACGAAATAGAGTTACTCAACAGCCTTGATGTGGAGCTCTATAGTTATGCTCAACATATTTTCGAAAAGCAACGGGCACATATCCAGAGCATGGCTTCTGCTGTAAGTCGTCTCTTGCTTAAATTTTAACATAAAACTGTCTTTCACTTTTTGAATATTTTTTTACCAGAGATGATCAACAGGCTTGCTCAGAATTTTCATCTGTTGGGTTTTCATAGTTGTGGTTAATTGCATGGCCTAGTATTCTTTATGCATTTGTTTTACATCACATGCTCTTCTAACCTGTTAATTGGAAATTCTGGAGTAAGTTATTTTGCTTCTCAAATTTTGTGCCTCACTTCATTATATTAATAAGTTAAATCATTCTGAGTGGTGGTTATATAATATGATTAAAATTCAATTACAAAAGTACTCTTGCGGCTGCCCTTTGAAAAGCCAAAAAAATGGAAAAAGAAAGAGAAATAAATTAGAAACCTACTAACACTCCCTTGAAGTTTGTATTTGGTAAACAAGGCATAAGTAGGTTATTGAGCAAAGATGAATACTCTTGGCGAAATTACTAGTGCAGTTCATTTTACTGACACACTGATATTATTCTGTGAATAATTGCAAACAGGAAATCTGATTACAGATTTCAATTTTGTGTATTGGATTACAGGAAAGGCTTGATGGCACCCTTTCTACTGGCACATATCCAAGTTTATATAGTTCCCCTGCTTGGAAAGTTCCCATCCTGTCAATCACGGGCTTATTGTTGCTTATGTTTGTATTTTTATTCGTAAATTCAAGAAGAAGAATATCCAAAGTTAAACTGTAAATGTGTATTGCATTACAGTAATCCACATAGCCAGCATTCAGAAGATACGATTACTGAGCTTCGTAAGCTTTCATGCTCGGCAGATTTGGAAAACCCCAGTTGTTCACTGCAGGATGAGAAATAGAGTCAGAAAGAAAAAGGAAAATGTATGTACAACTCAAGTCAAAATTGAGCATATATTGTCTACAGTTTGATGCTAACATAAGCTGGAAATAGAACTCTATGAATGTGTTGGAAGAAAAAA